CAAAAAGGGCATCTCAAACCCCTCGAGGCTCAGCCTCTCCCGAGTCCCCTTCCAGCTAAGCATGATGGTACCCAGTACTGCGCGTACCACCAGCAAACTGGTCACAGCACCGACAACTACTTCCGTCTTCGTCATGAAATACAGGATCTATTTGACAACGGGGTTGTCCTCCCGCCAAGCTCTGCAAAAATAGATATCATGGTTAGTAGAGGCCGATCTTTGATCGGGCGAGCGGGGGTGCTCACGAAGTGACCTTCCCCAATCGTACCCAAGTTCCCGAGCCGAGGTAACTTTGGTGATGACGGACACGTGGCCTTAGGCAACGAGTCAGGGTTTTCCTAAATTTTCCCAAAATAAAACATTTAGGTGGCGACTCTGTATCTGGCAAAGCAGTCCATGTTTGGCACTTCTTTCAAAATCTGTTTTCTCAAAATGATTTGCCGGATTTGGACTCTTTGGTTCATATTTAGAACCGTGACAATTTAAGAGTCCTGAACTGTAGTGAGCCCAATATCGAACGGAACGGGAGGGACTCACCCTCCCGGGGCGTTCGGGGACGTCTACAGTTTCTGGCGACTCCGCTGGGGAATTAGAGAACTTGACTCGAACTCATGATATCTTGTTTTGACTACACTTGTGTGTTTCTTTGCATTACATGTGCATTGGTGCGCCTAGGACACCGTGTTTGCCATCTGCTATTCCTGAACGGTTTGCTGGAGGCTTGTCTTGTCAAGGCATGACCATAAGGCTGACCGGTTATGGGCTCTGCCTGTATGGGAACACAAACCCCGATTTTACTGGGGCGTCCTTTTTGACCATTCGACCTAGTGCATATTCGGAATCCATAGTGACCATTCCAAGCTAGGACAGGTTCCTTACCTGATTTAGGTTGTTTGAAACCGCTGCGTGCGTAGTGAAACCCTAGCTCCTGACAAAATAGGACAGGGAAACCCTACCCCAACATAGGGTTGTTTTGGCTCTCACTTGCTTGCTATGCGCTTTTAGGGTGTGTCCCTACAGGAATGCATGTAACAGTTTGCAAGTCTGGGTATCAGGCCTGCGGGCATCAGTATCTGGGAATCAGTTTTATCTGAGGGTATCAGTTCACCCGCAGAATTTTGGGCAGAATTCAGTAGAGAGCACACTCATTCAACTATGCTCAGATCTGTTCAGGTGAAATCAGACTCAGATGCTGCATGTTTTCTCTTTTGCTAGGTAGTCTTGGAACCATAGCTTCAGAAGGCTCCGATATCCCCCGAGGTTCATCGGACTTGTGTTGATAGACTTTGTCAGGTCAGAGATTCAAATTCAAGGGCAATCAGTGTTCCTCCGCCAGAGGCAGGGTAAAAGGGGCCAGTTAGGCACAGATCACCGGTTCAGCACTTACCAGATCGGTGGCCCTTATCCACCCTACCAGTGAATAGTCAGGCTGAGGCCTCAGTTTTTATCAATTTTTAGTCACCCCCACCAGTCAGTCAGCCGGAACAGCAGAACATGGCAGGGATGGAGGAAATGATGCGTCAACTCTAAGAAAGTATGAAACTCATGCAGCAAGATGCTGCCCGCCAGACAGAATTTGCCAAACAGCAGGCTGCAATCATGGCCCAGCAGGCTGAGCTAATCACCAGGCTGCAACAGCAAAACAGAGCATTTGCTTCGCATCAGGCTCCTCCCCCACCAGGAGCTCCAGCACCCGAGGAGGCACCAAATGGCCAGGGAGATACAGACATTCCGACAAGACTGGCTCCGCCCCCAATCCTACCCCAGTTATCCAAAACGCCCACCAACCTACCGGACTCTCCCTTTGAGTTCGAGACCGATCCCACAGCATTAAAATTAAGCAAGCTCGAAAGGCTGTTCAAGAGATCCCAGGGAGTCAAGACCATCCCTGACATCGAAGATGGATATACTGACGCAGTTGTGACGCTGCCTGATAGATTCAAAATGCCGCACATTGATCGATTTGATGGGTCCGGGGACCCCATGGTGCACCTGAGATTGTTTTCAGACATCTTAAGGCCAATGGGCCTCAGCAGACTTCAGAAGCTGTCTCTGTTCGGCCGAACCCTGTCGGATGTGGCGGCCATATGGTATGCCAAATTAGAAGATGATGTCAAGAGAAACTGGGACGAGATGGCCGAGGCCTTCATTACGCAATACTCATACAATACACAAATCGAGATTACAACCCGTGATCTCGAGACAACGAGGCAAGAGCCTAAAGAGAGCTTCTCAGAATTCGTGACTAGATGGAGGGCCAAGGCTTCGATGATGACCCTAAGGCCTACAGACAAAGACCAGATTCGGATGATTGTGCGCAATCTTCAGCCGAAGTTGATGCAAAAGATGATTGTACTCCCCTTCCCTACCTTTTCTGATCTACATGAAATGGGGGTGCAGATTGAGGATGCCTTAAAGCAAGGCTTAATTGATAATGACCGGGAGCAACCCCGAAGAACTTTCA